AGAGGAAGAAAAAGAAAACTGCTTCCCTTCAGCTTAAAAGCTATATATGTATGTATGTGTGTGCGTGTGTGTGTGTGTCTATATATATATATTTCTCAATTTCTAATGGAATAGACTTGTGCTGTTTAGGGAAATCAATAGGAGGGATAACAACCGATTATACTATGAGAAAGAAAATTTTAAGACTCTTTGGAAATAGCGCATACATAAAACATTTTTGAACTATCTGCAAATGCAGAAATTATGCCTCAATGCAAGGGATCCATGCCAAAGTAAAAGTCTGCTCAGGCTTTTATGAATTTCAGTGTTAGTGGCAAGTTGATCACTCCAGTGTCTGAAAGCCACTGCGTTTGTCCCATGTTGTCCATTGCCATGTGAGGAAGGGGCCACCCTGTCTAATTAGTGACTGTGCCCTAACTGAACTCATAGTGTTTTATGTATCACAGTTCTTGAAAACGTGTCCAACAGCATTTTGATTTTACTGAATGCCAGATTAAAAGATCCTTTGGGGTTTGGACAACATATCTTTTTGCTCTGGAACTGAAAAGACATCGAAGTCAGATCTGGAGCGAATCGAGGAATGATGTACCATGAGGTGGCCCGCACAAAAGCCATGTGGGCAATTATCTCATGATTTGAGCAGCCTGACAAACTTCTCCCTTCTCACTCATATTTCACATAGATGCAACCACAGTCCAACTTTGTTACAAAGAAAGAGAAACTTGTCATTTGTTTGATCATCAGCATGGTGTAAGAATTTGCCTGTCACTTGTTTAGGATAATGGCTGAATTTTTCAGTTTTCAATTGATGCTTGGCAGCTTCGATGTGTTAGGTTGCTCTCAAACAACTGAAAGAAATCCACACATCCTATCCATTGTCAAGCTCATTTAGCAGATTATTCTAAGACTAAAGTAAGGCAAGATAGCTTGTGCTATGAATCTTTTAAGAAAATATTACACAGTGTGAACAAAAGCAAATCCGCAGAACTTTAAAATGTCAGAGCCCAAAGAGAACTTAGAAATCCTTTGATTGAAACATTTGAAAACTCATATGGCCACAGAGTCCAGGCAAGTAACAAGCCAACACCAAAAGATGTGGATTGAGCCTTTGCCGCAAGACCCTAGGAGAGGTTCTGGCCATGGGGTGCCAAACTATATGTTTTCATAAAATTTGCAAAAGTAAGATATTTAGCTTTAATTCATTAATAGGGCTCTCACTTTCTGACATCCTCCTCTTTTTCTCCCTTATGTTAGGGTGTTAGACGGCATTGACGTCACCCCAGGAATTGTGTATTCACATACCATAGACACTATTTATTTATAATTTCTCATGCAGTAAAGGAGATGCTACAGACAACGTTCTATGCATAATTTTGTATTCTTTTTATTAAAGCAAGATGTTTTCCAGGCTTTAAAACTTCAGGATTCACAAAACCAGCTGGTCAGATAAACACTATGGCAAAGTGCACTGCTCATGCCCATTTAAAGGAGGTGTTTTTGCTTTGTTCCTGACAATTATTGTCAGGTGAGAACTTAGGGGCTTGGTATGGCCAGTTATCTCCAGGGAAGCCAGAAATCCAGATTTATATGTCAAATCTTCTGATTTCAAAATGTTGATAACAAACCAAATCACACTAATCTGAAGGCTGAATTTGATCTGTGGGTTGTCAGTTTTTATCTCCAGTCTAAATCCAACTCTTGCTATTGATGATGAAAAAAAGCAAATGAACAGGTCTAAAAATAATGAACCCTCTATCCACACCACTGTCTTCCACAGGTTTTATATTAAAATCGTCTACCTGGTTTTCATATAATCATTCATTGAGCATTTCTTGAGTGTTAAATCTTCATTTTAAGTACATTTGAGTTTCCCTCAAGTTCATCTTTTGGTTAAATCAGTCCAAAGTAGTCCACATCCAGGTTCAGAGTTAAGAGACAGGGCTGGATGTGAAATCATCTCACTGTGCCAGGACTCTGAAGACAATTCACTAAAATCTGCAATAATTCAGACAAAGCTTCAGATCCTTCTTAAGAGAAAAGTTTCAAAAAGTGATGTGGGGTTTTATATTTATGGACATGTTATTGTAATCCTGGTGTTTATTATTATTCTTTTGCATAAACTTTGAGTGATTTATAGTACCCAGAGGTAATGAATCCATTCCCCTTTTTACTCTCCCTCTCCTTGGAATGCTTGCATCATTTTCTTCACTTCTCAAACATTTTTTTAGTTGATATTTCCATGACTGGGCCCTTCTTATCAAGTCTCAACTGACATGTTACCTCTTTAAAAAAATCTTTCCAGAACATCTTAGCTAAATTCACCAACTCCCAGCTCTTTGTCTCAAGGGCCTATAAACTATGGCTCACAGTTTGAATCCACCCTGCAGCCTGGCTTTGTAAATAAAGTTTTATTGGCACTCAGCTGCATTCATTTGTTTACATACTATGACTGCTTTTGTGCTACCCCAGGAGACTTGAGCAGTTGCAACAGAGACAGCGTAGCCTGTGAATCCCAAACTATTTACTATCTGGCCCTTGATGGAAAATATTTGCCAACCTGAGACTTCTCCATTGCTGCTTTATTTTCTTCACAGTCATGATTATCTGAAATTACTTATTTTTTACTTGTTTGCTTGTTTGTTTCTGAATTCTACTCTTAGAATCTGAGCTCCTCAAGAGTTATTTTATCAGTACCTGGACCACAGTAAGTGTTCTACACAATATATTTTTGTTGAGTGAACATAATAAATTCCATGATTCAGCCTTTTTTCTTATAGCAGAGAGGGCTCCTAGAGCCTTTCTGTCAGGTGGGTCCTGAGGTTTCTGCTGCTTTTTAGTACTACAGGGAATATCATGCCAATTTTTTGGTTGTTTTTGGTCGTGCAAACTGGACCAACTATGTACACTGAGACAGGTGATGCCTAAGTACCAGACCCTTGAACTGGATGAGGAAAAGCCAAGATGGGAAGCCAATGGAAAACATTGTGGTATGTTGATTCTGTGTATTATTTCACCCAATGCCATCATCACTATCAAGGGCTCACTCTTATTTGTCAAGTAAAGAAAGTCTACTAGTTCAACTGACTTCTAAGTAAGAAAACATTTTGGTTTCTCCCTATTTAGTCAAATAAATGAGTTTCTTTTTCTAAAGCCTCAACTCACCTAAGGACAGAGTTCTTTGTTTTTCTCTGCTTAATTGCATCATCTTTCTCTATACCAACTACACAAACCCCAACACACACTCAGTCGCGGATTACCATCTCATGTCTTTATCACCTCATGCATTTTACCTGCTGGAAATAAATGTTCACACTCTGCCCAATTCCTTCCTACCCTTCACCTTGACATGCTTCAGAACTCTTTTTGTCTCTTCCTGTCTCTCAATACCTGAACTCCTCTGTGACTGAGAATATCTAGCACATGATGCAGAACCTTAGGATCTGTCCAGTGGCTTCTTGTCTGTTAGTAAGTTTTGTTCTCCTAATGAGATAGGAGAACAATAGTCTGGCTATGTCCCCACCCAAATCTCATTCTGAATTGTAGCTCCCATAATTCCCGTGTGCCATGGGAGGGACTCAGTGGGAGGTAATTGAATCATGGGGGCGGGTTTTTCCTGTACTCTTCTCATGATAGTGAATAAGTCTCATGAGATCTGATGGTTTTATAAAAGGCAGTTCCCCTGCACATGCTCTCTTGTAAGACATGCCTTTTTTCCTTCTTTGTCTTCCACCATGATTGTAAGGCCTCCCTAGCCCTGTGGAACTGTGAGTCCATTAAATCTCTTTTTCTTTATAAATTACCCAGTTTTCGGTATTTCTTCATAGCAGTAGGAAAATGGACTAATACACCTAGCACCTTGTAAGCATGTACCATTTGTTGTTTTGTTTTGTTTTGTTTTGTTTTTGTTTGAGACAGAGTCTCATACTGTCACCCGGGCTGAAGTGCAATGGCATCATATTGGCTCACTGCAACCTCCGCCTCCGAGATTCAAGGAATTCTCCTGCCTTAGCCTCCTGAGTAGCTGGGATTACAGGCACCCGCCACCACACCTGGCTAATTTTTTGTATCTTTAGTAGAGACGGGGTTTCACTATGTTGACTAGGCTGGTCATGAACTCCTGACCTTGTGATCCACCTGCCTCAGCCTCCTAATGTGCTGGGATTACAGATGTGAGCCACCACACCTGGCTCATGCACCATTTTCACTCATATTTATATCTTCCTCTTTTACTCAATTTGTGTTTGGCCGAACTTGAGTCTGCAGAACCAGGCCCCTGGCATTGTGCTGAGAGTTATGCCAGGAACTAACGAAACCGTTGAAATTTCCCAGGAGCCCTAGAACCTTCCTTTGGGAGTCCCCATACCATATAGAAATAAGCCTGTTAAAACACACCCACTCGCCAAGCTATGTGTGGTTTTTTTTTTCTTCTTTTAACAAATCATAATTCATTTGCTTTTTATGTTGTGTTATTTATTAAAATCATAACTTCTTTTTATGTCTCAACCAGTGCATATTGGGTCATATCTTCAAGGATTTGAAGTCACTTGAATTTTTTTAGAGGCCCTGGAAAAGCTGGTATATCTAATGTACTATGCCCCAAATACCTATGGTATTTATACTGCTTTAGCAGCCTGGACACTCGCAGATACAGTGATGCGTATGCATGGTTCTTGTCCTCAGGGAGTGCAGATTCCAGGGAGTGAAGTACAGGTAAGCAGGTGGTAATAGAAAACTGTGAGAAGGTCCATTGTGAAGGATGGGCAGAAACTGAACAAGATTTGAGGAGACAGACAGAAACGGGGTCAGGAAAGGGCAGGGGGGACCCCCCCAGAGGAAGTAATGCCTTATATCAGTGGTCCCCAACCTTTTTGGCACCAGGGACCAGTTCTGTGGAAGACAATTTTTCTAGGATGGGAGGTCGGAGGATGGTTTCAGGATAAAACTGTTCCACCTCAGAGCATCAGGCGCAAGTTAGATTCTCATAAAGAGTGTAAACTTAGATCCCTCACATGTGCAGTTCGCAGTAGGGTTCAGTCCCCTACCAGAATCTAATCCCACTGCAGATCTGACAGGAGGCACTGTTCAGGCCACAATACTTGCTGGCCCACTGCTCACCTCCTGCTGTGTGGCCTGGTTCCTAAGAGCCCACGGACTGGTACTGATATGGGTTTGTGGCCCCAGTGTTGGGGACCTCTGTCTTAGATGACCTGAAAGAATGCAAAGTGAAAGGATCTGACTTGAATTCTGCCTATCAAAACACAGCCAATTTCCCCCAAATTAGCCTTGATCAATATATCTAATCCACAACGAATTCAACTGAAGCCACAATCATGACAGACTACAGTTTGTGGGGCCTGGTGCAAAATGAAAAGGCAGGGCCCCTTGCAGAGTTTCAAAATGGCAACAGCAGGGCATTAAACCACATATGGGCCCTTCTGAGCATGGCTCCCTGTCTGATAGCACAGGCCTCACCCCCATGAAGCTGACCCTGTTTGTTGTTCTAAAAATGGGGCCAGTGTCATTCAAAAGATAGCAGGAGAAAAAAAGCACCATCTACTAAAGTCCCAAGTACATAGCAGATGCTCAACAAAGGTTTGTAGAAAGAGGCTGAGTTTCTTTATTTTGCTTTTCTTGGAAATAGGCCTGACCAGGTGGCAAATGTCTGTAAGAAAGCAGTTACTTTGTCATTTTCCCTTTCTAGAAGCTCAGCACAGATGCAGAGATCCAGGTCTGGCCTGGGGAAACATGACCAGTCTGGCTGCCTTTTGCCTTGGAGATGACGTGGTTATTAATACATATATTCAGTTTGTTTGAAATATACACATGCATTTAAATCTATATATAAAACCTTTTGGTGGACATTTTCTCCACATCCTATCCTGACAGAAGATGATGATAAACTCATGCTAGTGATTTTTATTAAGGCTCATTGAGTGTATTTTCAGAAGCTGTCGCACAATGAAATGTATTAAACATTTTTTCCCTGTCTGTAAATGTGAGTAGTCTTGAATTGCTCAGCCAGGTAAAGTGAGTCCGTGGATAACTCTTAAATGCATTAAACTCCGAAAAATATTAGATCCTTCTGAACAGATGAGGTTTGGTAGTGCAGCTCATTAGCATTTGAACAAATTTGTGAGACTTTTAAGGCATGTTGTTGGATTGAGCTAAGTAGATGAACACAGTGAATTCCAGACCCTAATGGCTCCATTTATCAAGGGAGCAGGTTTTAACATAATGCATAAACCTTTCTCACATGGCCATTTTACTATGCATTTAATTCTATTGCAACATGGTGCTTTGGGCAGAGGAAATGAAAAACTTAAACAAGGTTAACATTCCGAGAAAAGACTAGGAAAAATCAATACCCCCTCCCTCCCCAAATAAAAGATGATTTACAAAAATGAAAATCTATATTGATGACAGAGTCTTAGAGATGACAAAATATACCAGTGATGGTTTGCGACTAGGACATGGGTTGTCATTGCTACCGAGTTCATATCCAGTTTCAGGGATGATATTATGAAAACGTTTAAGTGTGATTAATAAAAGGTTATTAATTGGTTAAAGACCCTCCTGCGGCTTTGAGATTTATTTTGAGGACGATGAAGAATTCTATCTCATTTACTTCCAGTTTCACATTCTTATTGACTTGGAAATATTGCCTTTTTTCCTGTTTATATATGCTTAAGAAGAAGAGCTAAAGTAACTATCTTTCCTCCTACTCAGGAAGATTTGCCAGAATTTAACACTAAAACTTCATCCCTTTGGAATATCCAGTCTTTCAAAATTTTTTGTTTTGTCTATTAGCGATTTAAAAATACCCTAGCTTCATGACATTTGCAGAGGCAGCATTATGATTTTGTCTATCAAGGAGGCAGCCAAAGGCGGAGGGTTTGTATGGTGCAGGGTGACATTTATAGGTAAGAGTGTGTAATTTTACCAGTGAGCTGCCCAGAGCTACATCAAAATGTAGATTTGTGGTTTCTCTGTTGGGCTACATCATTTTCGCCTGCCGGTGCAGTTGTAAAACAAAACACACAAAACAGGTCACTCTTTACAAATGACTTTTGACTCTATATTTATATGGCCATTAAGAAACTAAAGAACTCAAAGTTTTTCAGATCTACCTAACTGAATTTTATGAAGGAAAAGATATGCTTTGGTGGATTCATAAATTTATGAGATTTTGAGGGTTGTAGAAGATATTTCCTACACATGGCAAGGGTCTATGGAAAATAACTTTGATTTCTCAGGAGCTGTTTCCCTGCTACTTCCATTAAAAACACTTCACTACTAATACCTAAAACAACCCCATAGTTGCTTTTTCTATCCAAACTATTGTCCAAAGTTATTTCTTTAAAAAGTTGAGCCTTCCCCATTTCCCTGCCTCCCTAATGAAACTGCTTTTCTATATGGTGCTAGGCAGGACACGAATATTAACAGGATGAGTTATGCTAAGTTAGATAGCTGAAACTGGATAGCATTTCCATCACTCAGAAACAGAAATATAAAGTTGGAGCTTAAGCATGGAGCTTAGCAATTTGTCTTCCATCTTTAGAAAACTCAAAATTATTCTTATGTAGTACAATGGATGAACTAAATAATATCCCAAATAGAAGGAAGAGTGTTTAAAAGTGTTTTTTCATAAGTGAGTAAAAATATTAAAACATCCTTCTACACAAAAGTATCCTTTAAAAGTAATAAAGCCTGATCGAAATCATGGATATCAACAGCCAGATTTTTCAGCACATCTAGGCAGAACTCAGGGCTCAGGGCAGCTCTCTCTTCCTCTCTGAATCCTTTTCCTGGTTTTTCCAGTTTAAGTTCGGTGGTGGTGTTTCATTTCCTTAGTTATTCTATATTTCTATCCGTTATCATACTTACTACATGTTGCTTCATTGTTTTCTTATCTGTCTCTCAACCCAATGATATGTACCTTACCGGTAGGTACAAGATCTTACTAAAGGCTCCTTTCTTGGTTCTAAAAACAGAATTGACACTGTTGATCCCTAAAGAATATTTGTCAATGAATTAATCAATGAATGACTGAAGGCAACTCTGAATCCTTTTTGAAGCTTCAGATATTTTGATGAATGCCAGAAATGACAAGAAAATATTGATAAGGTTGGAGAATTTCAATCTTTACTCTTTATTTAAGCACATAGAGGAATTCTACTTCCTCTTTCAATAAAAATCAGCAACACACAGATCACCAGCACATGCATCAGAGGGTTCATTGTAGAGGCTCAACATATATTCACTGAGCTAACCCCAAATGCATTTGAGCTTCTGCCTGGTAACTTGTCGAAGGACACCCTAAGCCACTCTAACAGAGGATCCTAAGAGATGGAAAGGAAAAGGTACAAGATTATGAAAACAGCATTGCACATCTAGTCTGGACTTCTCTACCCAGTGGCAAATCCATGCAGCAGGTTATGAAGATGCTGGTAGATTTCCTGCGTAGAACTGTTGAGCCGAATTAGTTTTCTCTACTGTTCATGTTAATGTGTCACTAATCTTGGACCTTTCTTTTACTGACAGGTTGTATCTATTTTTCCTATTCTCTTTTTGTGGATTCAACTTAAAACATCATCCAGGAAGCTTCCAGAAAGACTCCAGGCTTCTCAGTGGGATGTTATCCAAATGGCTTGAATCTTTGGATTTGGCACTAGAAAGAGACATGTTTTTTATGTATGAGTTAAGCTCAAATTGCATTTTGAAATCAACAAATGTGCTTCACCCAACCACCTCAAATCTGGGAGAGATGGCCCACTTGAAATAAAGGTTAACAACCTTCAAGTTTAATTCCCAAGTTTTTCTATCATTTTCCCAATTATACATTGCATCATCATTTTTTCAGCCCTATTTAAATAAGGAAGTCTGGGCTGAAGTTAAAACACATAGGCAAGAATTAGCAAGGCTTTCTTTTAAAAAAAAAAAAAAAACATAGGCCATATATCTTCCAAGAAATCTCTATGAAGAGATGTGTTTTTGTACCGTACCAGGAAGCAGCTGTGGTACAAGAAGAGTGAGAACTTGAACTCTTAAAAGCTGTTTTTAATCTCAACTAAGTCACATTGCCAGTTAACCTCTCTGATTTTGTCATCTCTTCTGTAAAATGGAAATTAATGATGCCTTCCCCACAGGGCTATTTTGAGGACGAAATAAGACAGTCACCAGGAAACTGCTTGGCAAATTGTAAAGTACTGTATAAATATAAGAGATATTAACTACAAATGGTCGTATGGGAGGCTTTAACAGTAAGCTAGAGAAAATTCTGAGGCACTGCAAATTCAGAAAGGAAAGTATGAAAGTAGATATAACCATCCTAATAGTGATGATAATGTAATGTCAGAATATTGGTGAGTTACAACATATTCCACATTTAAGTGTTTACAAGTGTTTGTGTCCCTTAAACATCATGAACCGACCTCTGTTAGCTTCCAGCTTTTCCTCTGAAGCTTCTTCACCTCTCTCAGCCTTCACAGAATTGAAGAAAGTCAGGGCCTTGCTCTGGATTAGGCTTTGGCTTAAGGGAATGCTGGGGCTGGTTTGATCTTCTATCCAACCCAGTCAAACTTACTCCATATCAGCAATAAGGCTGGTTCACTTTCCTATCATTTGTGTGTTCAATAGAGTAGAACTTTTTACTTTATTCAAAAACTCTTTGTTTGCATTCACAACTTGGCTACCTGGTTGGCACAAAAGGCCTAGCTTTCAGCCTGTCTCAGCTTTCAACATGCCTTCCTCACTCAGCTTAGTCATTTCTAGCTTTCAATTTAAAGTGAGAGATGTGTGTTTCTGCTTTTCACTTGAATACTTAGAAGCCATGGTGGGGTTATTAATTTGCCCAATTTCCCCAATTTCAAGAAATAGGGAGGCCTGAGGAAAGGGCTTCCCTATTCCCAGTTGTTTGGCACCCCCAAAACAATTACAACAGTAACATCAAAGAACACTGACCACAGATCATTATAGCAGATATAATTATCATGGAAAAGTTTGAAATATTGCAAGAATTACCAGAATGTGACCCAGAAACTTGAAGTGAGCATGTGCTATTGGAAAAATGGCACCAAGAGACTCACTGGATGCAGGCTTGCCCCAAACCTTCAATTTGTAAAAAGTTCAGTATCTCTGAAGCACAATAAAGTGAAGCACACTAAAGCAAAGCATGCCTAGATGTGCACTTGACGAAATTTCCAGTAATGTAAAATACTCTAAAATTCTACTTTGCCTATATATTATATATGCACATTTATGTAGATATTTTGCATTTAAATAAACATTAATGTGAAGGAACATATACGTAAAATGATCTATAATATAATTTAAGGACAATTTAAAAGATTTTTAAGGGTAGATTTTGAACTGTAAATAAACTTACTACTTTTCACACTCAACCCCTGCAGAAGATGGGAACTGGCAGTATAGTCTAATTACTTAAGTAGGAGTGTTGGGTATCATTGTGTTATTTCAGGGCATAGTTCTCAAATTTTCTTAAGTGAACTGTAAGTGAATGGAAATTGTGTGTGTGCGTGTGTGTGTGTGTGTTTGCATGCATGCATATGCATATGCAAAAATCAAAATTGATTTGCCCAGGTACTCCACTTGAGCACAAAATCACAGGCATGAATATGCAAGGAAATTTGAATGTGTGTTTGTCAGCAACCGAATATTTGGCAAAGAGGAAAATTAAAATAGATTGCACTTAGAGCTCGAGGAAGGAAGAATAAACACAAATTTACAGGTGAGTGTTAGCAAACAGCATATATATTGAATAGTAGTCTGAAATAGACCCATCTGAACTTGGTGGGAAATTGACATTCTGTTTGTGCTACTGTGTATTAGACCTGGAAGCCTCAAGTTATATTTCTCAATAGCAATGCAGCAAATTACTATATCTACATGGCAGGCACTTGGCTCTTAAGAGCTGGCAAGATTGAGGGTTATTTGAGGCATTTAAAATAAAAATTGCAGATAAGATCGAATCAGTGTGGTCAATCAGCAAGAGAGTCAACAGGTATTTATGACACAACCACTTATCTATGTATATTTTATAACGCTGTGCTTGATGGGATCAGAATGGAGAGAAGATCCAACAGGAGATCTGTGGCTCTGGGTTGGAAGGCCAAATGGTAATAAACAAGGGCTTTGGGGTCACACACATCTGCCACCAGAACCTGGACACCTCTTTGCCTAAGTAATCTCCACATTTTAGGTGAGGGCTAGGTTCTGAAGTCAGCTCATTAAAAGCAAAAGTCACATACAGTCAGAATTATCTTTGAAATTGTCTTATGCCTTCTATCCTTAAGCCTTTTTATTTTTTTTTCTATTACTGAATTAAGAATGTTTGAGCCCCTATGCCATTAGAAGATAGAAATTTAATATCGGCCAAGACATACACCTACTACTCAGGAGGCTGAGGCAAGAGGATTTCAGGAGTTTAAGACCAGCAGTTCAAGGCTGCTGTGAGGCATGACAGCACCATAAACTCCAGCCAGGGCAACAGAGCAAGATAGCATCCCTAAAAAGTAAATACTTTTAAAAATAAATAAATAAAAGACAGACAGAGGAACACACACACACACAATTGTGTGCATCCTTCTCTCACCATTTTTATGCCCACTAAAGTTTGAGAATTGCTGTGCTAATGAAAGGGCCAACGAGAAAGTCTATGTGTGGATATCTGGACTTTGGAATCATCCTGCCTTTAAGATATGATACTATCAAATCCCCAGTGTGAGAAGCAGATGGTAAGACTTCTAAAGTGTTCCTGCTTGCCTTCAGGGTTTACTCTATTCAGTTATAATAATAAGCCTCTCTGATTTTAATACATGTTAACAGACGTATTTGATGTTTTGAGGATTAGGTGAAACAGTGGATGGCAACTTCTTTGAGGGTTAAATTCAAAAATCGGTATGTAAGTTGCATGTGCTTTGTGACACTTCTTCATTTACATGATCTTTGTCAGTGTACTTAACCTAACTGTGCCTCATTTGCCTCGTCTACACACAATACCCACTTAACAGAGTTGGTGACACTGTAAGTATGATAATGCAAGAAGAGCTATTGGCAGACTGGTAGCAAGAAATTAAAACATAGTAGCTACTTTATTGGTATTACAAATTATTGTTGTCGTGGTTGAGACGATTATTATTACTTGTATGCTCTGAGACTTTGGACATGTTACCAGATCTTTCTGTGCTTTAGTCATTCATCTGTCAAAAGGGAGCAAGATATCTTTTCCTCCTACCTCAAAGAGCTGCAGAAGGAACAAAAAAAAAAGACAAGGGGTTGGAAAAGCATGAAAGGTTGTACAAGTAGAAGGTGAAAACAGTATAATGAAACACAATATTCAAATCCCAAGGCACCCCAGTTTCAGGGATGTTGCAAACCAATGTAATCTGCAGAACAAGGCATGTGGCTGAATAGCAACAGGGTTGGGACCTAGGGAGATCGGAAATGGCTGGATTTGGCCCGCCCACACCCCTGGAGAAACAGCTTAAAGTGCATGCCCTCTGGAAGGGGGCGTGGACATCTTGCTGTGGAATATATATGAGCCTGTGTTCCTCCCAAAAAGTGCTACCATGAAAAGTGGCCTTGTGCAGCAGACATAAATATATAGGTCTCTAGCCCAAATGGCAAGAAACCTAATATCATTTTCTTCACAACTGAGTTAAATTCTTATTATAAGCATTATCATTATTATTAATATAATTCATATTATAATACTCATTGGTTGACAGAAATGAAATCTCTGTCAAGTAAGGGGGTCTAGGTTAATTCAGCTTCCTAAGATTGTGTCTAAGTTCCAGGGTGTTTACAGACATCCAAATATCGGGGGGTCATATGTGGGTCTCAGTTGTCACCTGTATTCACACTGACTTCTGCAGGGATGTGCAGTTTCCCTTCTGCTCACTGACTGAAGGCTGTTCTGGAGCTGAGAGGCCTTTCCTAGAAGCATCTCAGGCCCCTGGCTCAGTTGCTGCATGCGAGCATCTCCAGTCTTCTGCTCCCGAGTCATGGGTATGTGGAAGAAGGAGCAGTGGCCTGGGAGAGGTGGGGTTTCTTCACAAAGCGTCCCAACAGAGACCTCTTCTGCTCTTGAATCACCAGACTCAAGGGGAAGGGTTGGTTTATGCTCCCTCCCACCCCCCACTCCACTCGAGGCTAAGGATTCAGCCCTCTGCAAAGACAGGACACAGAGCTGCTTCTCCGCTGAGTCTGAAAGCAAAGGCAGCTTCTCCTTCACCCCCCATAATTTTCACTTCCTCTCAATACCCAAGAAAACTTACCCTCTATGTAAAGGGAGGTGAGAAAATGGAAGTCAAGTGGACCTCTGACTATTGCGTTTTGCTCTCCTGGAGCTATTTTTATTTATTATACTTTAAGTTCTGGGGCACATGTGCAGAATGTCCAGGTTTGTTACATAGGTATACACGTGCCATGGTGGTTTGCTGTACCCATCAACCCGTTGTCTACATTAGGTATTTCTCCTAATGCTATCCTTCCCCTATGCCCCTACTCCTTGCTATCCCTCCCCTAGCCCCCACCCCCTGACAGGCCTCAGTATGTGATCTTCCCCTCCCTGTGTCCATGTGTTCTTATGAGTGAGAATATGCGGTATTTGGTTTTCCGTTCTTCTGTCACTTTGCTGGGAATGATGGTTTCCAGCTTTTATTTTAGATGCTAGGATGTCTGCTTTTGAAATCCCCAGCCCACAGCTAAGGCTCTTTGTTCAGCTTTCTCCCCTATGATGCCTCTTCTGAGGCAAGGGCCACTTCTCGTACAGAGTGGGGTGGAAGAGACAGCTTCAGAAAGTCCCGCTGCAGGAGTGGGACCCACTGCTCACATTTCAAAAATATTATCCAGTAACAATGTTTAGAACGTTACCTAGCATGGAAGATTCCTGAAGGAGTTGAGAAAGCCACAGTGATTGTACCAT